TTTGCGTCTCGAATTTTGACTTGTGTGTAGCTCGTATTATATTGGAAGAGTAGGTTTCCGAGACTTGTAACAGCCGATCCCCAATTATTTCGGGCGGCGTGTCTAATTCTGAAGTCTCGCGATCTGTCTCGTTCTCTTTAATTCGGGCAAATTAGTTGGCATTGAAGGAGTACACTGGCCGCCAAAAGTTGCCGAATACCGTGCAATCGGAGGAAGAAAACCAGCGGCTCGTCCAAAATTTATTCCTATCCATCTTTTCGCGTTAAATTAATCATTAAATAAATGATACACCAGACGCGTAGAAATTCTTCATCGAACGAAGAAGAATATCCTCCAATATCCTCTAAATCTATAATTAAATTTTGATCTACGCTCTCTGCGAATTTTTGAAAAATTCTCAAATTCGTTTGTTTATTTCACGCAACTCTTCTCCCTTTTCAATTTAAAAAAATTTTTAAAAATTGCGCCCTCTCAAAAAGTACCAATACTAAAAATTTTATCTCGTCTCTCGTATATCATCGAACGATGACAAATGAAAAGAAAAACCTATCGGCGATCCACGCAATCTTTCGATTATCGTAAATAACGTGTTTTAAGAAACACGAGCCAAAATATTCAGCAACTGATAGACCTTGTGCACCCACCCACCTTATTCTCGGTTATTCTCGAGGCTCGTTCCTCGAAGGAGGAGGGGGAGGATACGAGGCGCAAAAAACAGAGGAAATCAGCGTGCGTGAATCGCGAAGCCTCGACACGCCGCTCATTTAACGCGCGTACGCGCCCCTATCTCGGGCATGCATCAAATACGCTGGCGAGAGAAAGCCTCGTGGCCGTCGAATAACGTTGGAAAAACGTGAGTGAAGGTGGGGAGAAGAGGGGAGAGGACGAGACGAGAGGAATTGAAAGACGGTTTGGGGAGCTGTTTGGGGGTCGGGGGCGTCGCTTCCGACTGCGTCGTCCCTGTCTGCTTATAAATAACACCATCTCCCCCGTTTCTTCGCGCGTTTCGCAGTTTTTCTCTTCCGATCCTCCCTCTCTCTCTGGCCCCCCTCGCCCATCCTTGCTGCTGCTGCTGCTGCATGCTGCTGTGCAAGGCTAATTAATATCACGTGATGAGCGATCGCGGCAAAACCTCCTCTCCCGTTGCCGCGAGATCTTTGGGAAGAATGCGTCGTGGATGGAATAACGTCGTGTACGGGGGAGAGGTGGTGGAGAGAGGTTCGCGTACGCTGCAAGCGTGTACACTGGGCGTGATGGTGAAAGAAAAGTGGCGTGCAATTTCGGGAATGGACGAATGTGTAAACGAAAGCGAAGAATAATAGGTCGGAAATTAATACAATATGTTCTTGTGATCTTCTTTTCCATGTTATTTTGTACAAAGGAAAATTTTTATCGATACTTCTTTCTTCGTGTTTTCTGTTGAAAATTGTGAAACGACGAAAGATTTATAGAAGAAAAACAGGGGAATCGTTAACAGAGATGTGTACACCGATTTTCAGATATTTTTCTAACAAAATTTTCCTAAAAGAAGACAGGTATCTTTCACCAAATATCCTTAACAAGAGAGCAAGAGAACTTGGATGGCTCGATCCTCGAATTGACGCTGGATATTCTTTTAAAGAAAATTTCTGAAAGAAGAGCAGCATCTTTCGCCAAATATCGAAACATCGCGATTCCTAGCAAGAGAACTTGAACATTGGCACTTCGATTCTCGAATTGACACGCGAGATCTCGTTGCATTGGGTTGTGGCGATGGCGTGGCGATGGAAACGCGCGAGGAACGTCGCGTCGGCTGTGTATCCGAGTAGATAACGAAACGGTCTGCGGAGGAGGAGGAGGAGGAG